AATAGGTCGATAAATTGTCGGTGGAAATGGATGAAATGTAGTTGATGTATCTGGAAAAAGTAATCGATGTGTTGGATGACCAGATGGAACCAATGGGAATAAAGTTGGATGAAAAAAAGGTGAAGATTTTATTTGATGTCGGAGTGTTGCTTGTTTTTGAGCATACATTATTCGATAGAGTTTATACCAATTTTTTCCATGTGTTGAATTGTCTGAAGTATGCGGAATTGAAACTAAAGCTTACAAAAAAAAAAGAATTGGTACAATAAAGAAGATTAATCTTATGAACATACATCAGGACGTTCTTGCCTCTCCGATACTTTGCGATAGGACCATTCTTTTATGGTCCGGGCCGGGTGATCTGTTCTGGTATACAGTATCTTGTGGATGCATGTCAAACAATACAATTACTTAGCTCTGACGTTCAACGTTCTGATAAACTATGTAGGGGACGTTCAACTATCGCTGGAATCCTGATAGACAAATTTTGATTGAAGAATGATTTGTTTAATCATTTCTCGTGAAATGAGTTTTTATTATTATTTGATTATTATACTTGAATGTTCACTAGGAGATACTGTAGATTACATAATCGTATAATTATCGAACTGGATTTACAAAAAAAGCTAAAAAAAAAGTGTCACATGAACTTTTTTCAAATTTATGTATTTCACATAAATGACAGTTGAATTAATACAGAAAAAGTTGTTAGCACCATCCCTGTGGAAACATGATATAGCTACTATTGCTAATCACACGGAGATTGTTTTATTTTGAGATACATTTTTTTTCCAGAAATACTATAAGGAAGTAGTTTCTATATTATACCGAGACATTATTAATTATACGTTTTTTGATCGTATTCTTACGTCTATAATGAGATGTTTCGAACGTGTTTTTCTATCCTGTCTGTGACGTTACCATGGTAATATTAGTCATAATGTGTGGATGATGCGAATTTCTATTCTATACACTTTAGTACTCGGTTTTAGATGTTTTTATTGAATGTTATCGTTTTCTTAATAATTCTTTGCATTCTTAATATGATGTATAGGTTTCTTTGACATTTAATAAGCTATTTTAGTCTTAATGATGAAATATTATTTCTTTTTCTGACATAATCATTATGCTCAACATAATCGCTAGTCAACATTTTGTTTTGGAAATCAATCTTCATTTGTTTTATAATAATACGAATACAAACAATTAATTAAATCACAATTGGCAAATGATAGTTACTATGTATAAGAAAATATTCAAACAAGAATAATATAAGAAGTATGTCACAGTGATATAAACAAATCAAGATAAGACAAATATCACTGATGCATAGAATGTGTCATCACTTCTAATTATTAATAGCTATTGACTTTTTAAAATATGGTAAATTATAGATCATGTCGTAGTTTATACATGATCATAGCCATAAGAAATATTCTTTGAGAAAGAAAAACAAATCAAAATTTCAAACTTAATTTTTTTTTTTGTGTGTATTTAAAATGTCTCGACATTCTCATAGATCATATATTTTCTATTAAAGAAAAGCAAAACAATTCTTACCAGCTTTTTCAAAATCTCGAATACATAAGTCATGCCAAAGTAGATTGTCATTTAATGTATTGTGAATATCACGACATGTACCTTGCAAAGCAAGTAATGATTTAATAGGAAGATATTTAGCTAAACGAAGCTAAAAAGAAAAAAGAGTAGAATATAAGGATGATAATATTTAGAATAGATGAAAGTAGTCATATTAGAATTTCGTTCAAAACTATTCATCTCTGATTGATATGAATAAGAAAAATTTTCATTTTTATATTTAAGTAGATTAAACTCTATATTTCATAATCATTACTCTCAAAGTCAGATTTGATCGTAGATTATTCTTCAAACAGCATCATAACTAAGATCAGTTTGCATTGCAATCAATTGCAAAATATAAAGATCATCATTATCAAAAGGCAATGAATCTATTCAATCTTCGCAAAATCATTCATATCATATTTCAACTATTCTCCTATCGAAAATAAAAACTTTTTCTTTTCGATCTAAATCAAACGAAAAAAAAAAACAAAATTTAATCGAAATTCTCAAATTATTCTACCAAATGAAGAAGGTTCTTACTATAATATACCTACTTTTGACAAATTCGAAGTATAATTAATCAACTTACTTTTATTTCATTCGGCAATCCTATTAATGTTGCACTCGATCGTTGACCTGATTCTAAGAAAATTAGAAAATAAAAATCATTTATTCCTTTTTCTTGTTTCTATCATTTACCTTCTAGTAATTTACATAGAAGACGATTAGCCAAATTGTCTTTAAATGATCGTGATAGATTCCGAAGATTATGATACGGAAAAGCTGCATTTAAAGTTGTTGCTTAAAAAAAAAAAATTGAAATTATTCATAAAATCAATATGATATAACATTCTTTAGTATCACAATATGTCATCTTTGATTTCCACAAAGAGAGAAAAGAGTCACATTCTTAATTTATCTGCATCAACATCCTATGAAAATCGAGTGACGGTGGATGAAATCTATTTTTGCTGTGAGCTTAAGGCCCCCCCCCCCCCTCAAAATTCGATCTCAGCTTAGGAACATCGAGATGCCATGAAACTTTGAGGATATGTTGGGGGGTATAAAAGTACGTCTATGATAAAATTTTCAGCCTCCTATCCTGATGTATAAGGTACCTACGAACCAAACAAGGGTCGAAAAATAGCTTATCGCATACGCACAAAATTTCGATGGATATTCATTCAATATGGTTCATTGTTTTTTCATTTGAAAGAGTATGTCAGGATGCAGTGCCTATGAGGGCCCTTTTTTTTTTATTCTTATCTTTGATAAGCAAAAAAAGGCTTCACAAATTCAATCACTCAAAAAAATCATGCTTATATTATAAAATCGGTTTTCAATATAATAATAGGAAAGTTTTATCAAAAAAAGGACCCTCATAGGCACTGCAGTTTTTGATGCTCTTTCAAACAAAACAAAAATATTTGCCTTTATATCGGATTATAATTAACTTTTGATGAGGCTACGTAATTCGACCACCATTTTCAGAAAAAACGAAAAAGATTTTTGGACTTTTCGAAAAACCAGCGGTTTTTCGAATAGGGGTCGTCAAAAATATTGAAAATTTTCCGGAAAAAAGGAGGTATCGAAGAAAAGTTTTTATCGTTTCTGAAAGAGCAAATGACAGGCTATCTCTCCATGTATTTATCTCAATCTTGACCATTCTGACGAAAACTAACTTTTTTGAGGGGAGGGGGGTCTTAATTCCAAAAGAAACTTAAGTCTTTCTTCATGTCAAATCGTTCTAATAAAACATTTTATTCAACTATCACTGACTAGAGAAAGTCAATGGCTTTGAAGTTCTATGCATCATATAGATATTAATAACTTATGAGTATTCTGAAAACAGTTCGGATCTTTAACTTATTGCTGTGAAGATACTGTATTTTTTTTAGGTCAACGCTACGATCCTCATCAGGAAAATTTCGACTTGAAATTTTGTACATAGACAGATCTTAACGGAAATATCTGAAACTCGAAAATGATAAACTAAAGGTCCGAACTCTTTTCAGAGTATTCATAAATGAGTCTTGAAAGACTTCTATCCCTTATTGTGACTGATGATTTTCACGAACAAAATTTTTTAATTTGTTTTTACATATGAAAAAATTTCGAATATTTCAGGGATAAGCAATACTAGAAAATTTACAACTTTCTCTAATGAAGGTGATTTGATACATGCTGAAGTTTTCTTGTAAGCAGAGGATAGACTTTTAATCCAATGTTTATGTATTACAAAATGTTCAAAGAATGAAAATATATTTTATTCATAAAATACAACGTATTGTTTCTACCTTCTTTTTGTGTATATAAATAATTTGCAATATTAAATGATAATTTTCCACATGCTTGTGAAATTGAATTCACAACACCTTTTCAAAAAAAAAAAATAAATATCATCGATTTAAAATAAAGAATGAAATTTTCTTTTTTTTTTTTTGTGTATCTTAAAATTACCATCAATCGTTACTAATGAATCTGTTTTCATAATTGCTAATGAACATCGAATACGTTCTTCTTCACATAATTTATGTCGATAACGAATAACATAAAATGTTGATGATTTTTTTGCTATTGTTAAATCATAATCATTTTCTGTATCCTAAAAATCAAATATAAGAAAAAAAAACAACAACAACCATATATTTTTTTTTTTACCATTTGAAAACCACTTTCAAGCATTAATTCATGTATAGCCAAAACAATAAAATCAAAATCATCTTGTGGATGTGAATATTCCATAAGACGATGCATTAATAATGGATATTTATGATGATCTCGTACTTCATCAAGTGTTAATGGTTGATCTAATGATAATGATGATATTGATTCATTATTTATTTCATTTAATATATGAATTGTATCTCGACTAAGAAGATTATATTCTAACATTGTCTTATCTTCATCTAATGTATTTATACCATTAAGTGATAGATGAAAATTTGACCTAAAAAAAGAATTTTTTTTTTTTATAATCAAAAACAAAAAATAAACATTTACTTTCTCAAGGATAAAAAACGTTTTTTAATTTGATTTTTTAATTCAAATATTGTTAATTCATCATTAATATCATCGAATGTTATTGAATATGTTTGACTATTAAATTTAAATCGAAATTTCATTGTATTAAATCGAATAAACAAAAAAAAAAAAAAAAGGAAGAACGTGATGAAATTTCCTTTTCTTTTTTTTTTTTTTTTGCAGCTAGATAGCGCTGTTTCGCTTTTCTTCTTCTTTAAAGTGAGTCAGGGCAAATAAATGAATTCACATGATCATTTTTTCATAGGTTCAAATAAATTAACCAATCAGATCGAATAATGTCGCTATAATGACATGTCTTTGTTTTTTTCTTGTTGTTGTTTTCTTTTTCTTTTTTTGTTTTCGTATCTCATTAGAATTCTATAGGCGCAATTATGAGTGACCGAGGGGTAAGTTTAGTAGAAAAAAAACAAAACAAAAAGAAATTTGATATTAATTAAAAAACAAAATTTATTTTAGTATTCAAAAGAACGAGATACAAAACGATCTCGTCGTCGATCACCTTCAAGTCGATCACCATCACCACGAAGATAGTAGGTTGAAAAAATTTCCAGCAAATGAAATCTTATTCGGTATATAGGAGAATTTTAGAGAGAGAGAGAGAGAGAGGCAATCAATATATTTCTTTTTTATAATAGGTAGAAAAATATTTCTAATTTAAAGATCATTCATTAGAATAATTGGCTTTTGAAATGAATCATTGATTGCGAAAGAGAATGATTCATTATGTTCGAAGTCATATTTTAAGAATATTGATGAGGAGAGAATATTACCAAGTGATCTACTCGGTTTGTTGGCAATATATAGGGAACTGCGAGTTCAGATTCAAAATTTTTTCACTAATATCTGTCATCCTTTGTGTAAATGAAACGAGTGATGATGGATCAAGATCTTAACTACTCTCATTTCTTAATAAATTAAAAATTTTTGCTTAGTGAAAAACAGTACTATGATTTTTAGTTGTGTTTATATGTAAGAAAGATCAAACAAGTAGGAAGCTACAGATCTTTCTAAACTCGAACACATAGCTTCCAAAAGTTTTCTATTCATGCTTAAATTTACTCGCGATATTGACTTTTTAGTAGATTCTTTCTGTAGGAGTCCAATTTTCAAACAAAAAATTTTGAAATGAACTTTGGAAGGTTATGTTACTCTAGTAATTGCCTACATTTTTGCAAACGGAGCGGATCACTGATGAAAATTCTTATAGCAAGATTGAAAATTTTTCAACGACGATTTGAAGAACATTCTTGAGGATATGTGAAGTAGTACTCTTATGTTACAAATGAAGAAGAAATGTATAGGAAAGTTGCCGAAAGTTTTCTTCGTCTTCAATAACTAAAGAAATATTTTCAACAATTAAGATTACACTAGAATAATACGGAAAAGGGTTAATGTCTATATGTCTGCTCTATAGAGTTACCACAGGACGGACTATTATCAGGAAAAATTGAACAAAGGATTGTTGATCTTTAATTTTGTGTATAAGTAAATACTCTAGAAATTTCACTACAAATGATTGTTTCTCTTTTTGTTATTTTGAAATATTTGATAGTTACAGACGGTGAAAAATATTTTAAGAAAGCTATAATTGTTTTGAGGAGATATTCTTACAGTCATAAAACTCTCAGAACTTTGCAAACAAGGCCTATGGCTAGAAATCTTTGTACAAATTTTTCTAATTGACAGATCCGGAATCAATCCTAATCCCTAATAAGTTACATTTAAACTATCCGACATATTTCTAGGATTTGATTAATAAATATTAGAGTTCGCATCTTTACTTAGATCTCTTGTAGTCAACGGAACTTTTCTGTCATATCCAAGTGAAATGATTTGAATTTATTTATTTTTTTGAAATAGTTCTCGTTCACCATCACCTCATCGAACAAAACGTAGTTCACCAAATGGACGTCGTCCACCAAATGAAATTCATCGAGAAAATCCAATACCAAGTGCTTGTCTTGGTGTATTTGGATTATCACAATATACAACTGAACGTGATCTTAAAGGTTAATTTATAATTATTAACAAATAAAAATTTTATAATAAAAAAAAAAAAAAAACAAAAATTTAGATTTATTTCATAAATTTGGTCGTATAAAAGATGTTCAAATTGTAATTGATAAAAAAACAAATAAATCACGAGGTTTTGGTTTTGTTTATTTTGAAGAAATTGAAAGTGCTACACGAGTATGAAAACAAGAATATATTTTTTTCTAAAATGTATTCGTATAATATATTAGGCAAAAGAAGCACTGAATGCAGTTGAAATTGATCATCATCGTTTACGTATTGATTATTCAGTAACTAAACGTGCGCATACACCAAGTAATTATTTCAATTTTAGTTATATTTATTTTAATAATTTATTTTATTTTAAAGCACCTGGAATTTATATGGGTGTTCGTACAACATCTTATCATCGTTCTAATGGTCATAGTTATCGTCGTTCACCATCATCAGATAGAAAATCATATCATCGACGACATCATCATCATCGTCATCGTCATGATTATTCATCAAAGTTTGTTTATTTTGATTATTTTATTTATTTAATAAATATTGTTTGTTTTTTTTCGTAGATCACGTTCACGTAGTCGAAGTCGATCAAGATCTCGACGTGGTGAACGTCGACGTCGAAGTCCCGGATATACATATAATTAATATGAATGGTAATAAATTAAGAGAGAGAGAGAGAGGAAACTATAAGACCATCGAGTATACAAGGCAATCGATAAAAAAATTGTCCTTATTTTTGTTTCAAAATAAATCATTCAGTTTAAAAAAAAACATACATTGTTATTGGTTGCCAGTGCCATTTGTAAAGCAAAATAAATACGACATTCAGAATCAGTGTCAAAATTTCTTATGAAAAATTCACCTATGGCTCCCGATCGCAGTATTTTATTACAATTTTGTCTCATGATTTCTTCGGAGGTCAGTTTTTTTACAATACCATCAGTAGGGAGCTGTTTATCCTTCCAGACTCGAGTTCAAAGTTTTAGTTGGGCCCGCTTACACGTTTTTATGGACTCGCTACTCCACAGATGAGAAATACAGCAACGAGATATAACTGTATGTTGAATTTTTTTCTGAGAGTAGCGAATAAATAGCTGAAACCTTGAGCAATCACTTGTTCATGTGCACGAAGGTACCAGGTATTGATGGAAAAAACCTCGGATTTGGACCCGGCCGGATTTGGATCCGCAGCTCTCTATATCGGGCTATTCAATGTAGTGTTTGGTACTGATTCCGAATGCGATATTTAGTTTGCTTTACAATTGTGTCATGGCAATGAAAACTGCTAAAGATGTATTTGAACCCTGTTTCGCAACGAACGTATCATTTATTTTTTTACTATTTTGTGGAAAGTGATATCACATACATAAAATTCAGTTTGGAACTATCAAACTTTTAATTCCGATAGCAGATAGATTGTTTGAACATTTTAGACTCATCGAAAGAACCACTTTTCATTTATGTTAGCCTGATAAAATTTGTGTAATTGGTAATTTTAAACATCGGTACATTGAATGCAGCAAAAAAAGGGAGAAAGATTTTTTTTTTAATCGAGTGCTTCGCATTCTCAATGGTCTTATGATTGCTCACTTAAATATTCAATTTAAAATCAAGATTTCTATTTTGTTTTAATTATAGGTATATGAGATGAATCTCATGTGGGTGAGTGTGTAGTCTACATTCTTTTTTTTTTTCTATGAAAAAAAAAAAAAAAAAAACTATGAAAATTTTCCTTTTCTCTGCGATTATGTTTACTCATAGATGATTTTTTTTCTCTTTTCTTATATCTGTTTGTGTATGTGTTTCTGCGCTACACTACTCATCAACTTTTGTTCTTGAACAACAAAATTCTCAAATTTGATTGTTTTTCTTGGTTTTTTTTTTTGTTTTTCTTTTCTTCATTCTATGTGTATCAAGAAAAAAAAAAGGAACATATATAAACAAGAAAGAAGACATATATTATCAAGATACAAGTATAAGATGAAGATTGTTCCAGGAAAGAAAAATAAAACAGAAAAGATTATTCCTAAGATGGATATATGGATTGTTCTAGATCGATGAAGAATTTGAAAAAAGAAAAATATATATATATGGAAACAACCGTGAGTCATTGATTATTTATATTTGATAGTCACTTTTGCAATAATGTTTATAAAATAAAAATATTGCTGTTTTAATCAGCATTCATGATAGAAAAAAAAAAAATATCATCTTTTTACTTTCTTGATTAAAAAAGCATTCTATTGTTGATACAAATATACAATTTGTTGAATATTATTAATATATTTGTAAATGAATAAAAAAATGTCTCTGGAAAACCAAGACTCTTCAAAATCGATTTTCTGAATTATCTTCAACGAATAACAATCATTGTGCGACAGATCTAAAAACTTGCCGCCCGAATCTGTCAATGAAACAAGTACTTCTTCCGATAGGAAATTATTTCAGATAATCAAATCTTTTCTAGCTATTATCATTAAGGAAAAAATATACGGCATATCTAAACTTTTTGCATGCACTTTATCTCATCACATTGTACATGAACACTTCTATAAGATGAAGTATACTATGATATTCACATAAGCTTTATTTCATTCAAGAAAAAGAATTGGGACTTTATTTCCCTGATAAACACACTTTAAAAAAAAATATTTATTGCTGAATTCAAAATACAAAAAACTATGTGCTTGATAAATACAATTCTATTTACAATCATGATTTGATCAATCGTTTTTTGACAATAATATTGATTTAATGATGATGAACAAATAAAATTTTCTATTTAGATTTTTTGCAAAATAACGATCGATGACTAATATATACCATAGATATGTTGAGTTGTTGACAATCTTTTTTTTTTTGTTTGTTTGTTGTTATTGATACGTATGGTTTTGAGTAAAAAGAAAAGAGATGAGAGAAATTAATACAAAAGGAAGCCAATAAATTTGTTTCTCTATGTCTTTTTTTTTTTTTTTATTAAATTAAAACATATTTCATTTCGATCATAATATGATGACAGAGCAAACAGCAATTCAAAATAATCCAATATTTCCGACAATAGTTCCTGCCAATGATATAGATCAGATTAAATTAAATGTAGGTACTACCGGTACAATAGATAATGTTCTTCGAAATGTAGCAATACCAGGTAGGTTAGAACATACCACCATCAAGTATTCTTCAAAATCTTTTATATTTAGTGGAGCCAGTTATAGTACCACAACGTAATGATGTGAGTCTTCTATTTAATATTCTTCCATGTAAAGAATTAAAGAAAAAAAGAAAAAAGGAACTGAATGTAAAATAGGAAAAAAGAATTGAAGAAAAAAAATCGATTTGTTGTTTGTAAAAGAAAAAAAAAGTAATGATTATTTACTTAACTGATCGTTAGTAACTGTCGTGAAGTAAGACGTAAAGCATATAATTTTTTTTTTTTTTTTTGAAAATCAAATCAACATCTTGTAATAATTATCTATAGTACGAATTACCACCTGTTATGACAGCAGCTAAATATGGTGCATTATTTCCACATGTTGCTACACGAGGTAAAGATCTACTTCATATATTAGTACATGGTGCCGCTAATTTACCTTTTATTGATGGACGTCCACCACGATGTTATGTTACAGCGTAATTATTTGATTTGTTTTCTTTTGTTTTTTTTTATTTATTTATATATGTTTAGACAAAGTCGTTCGACTATGGCAACACAAGATATTGGAGAAACAATAAATGCAACAAATATTATGGAAGGTATTTCACCTCATTGGAATGAAATGATATATGCTGATATATTTGAAGAAACAAATCATGCTGAAGGTAAATTTAATAAAGAGAATATATTTCATAACATATTTATATATATATATATATAGAGGTTATTATATTAATTATTGATGAACCACGACAACGAACAATGGCTGAACATCGTTTTCCATGGCGATGGTTAGAACCATTTTATCAATATCATGTAAATTTACAACATACATCAAAACAAACAGCTCAAACAACTTCTCTATTTCTATCTATAATGCGTAAACAAAGTACATTATCAAAAGAAGATATTCGTTATTTTGGTTTGGAAGTTTTACTTAATCGATTTGATGTACCAGTACCAAAAAAACGAATTTTTTATGCTGTTGCTAGAATGATACCTGATTATGAAACTTATAAGTATGTGTCTTTTTTTCTTATAGGTGAGTGTATAAATAAACTAATAAAATTGTTCATATGCATATTTTTAGACATGATTATTTACGTAATCTTGATAATCCAAAATTGGGTATTGATTTTAAAAAAATAAATATTCCGACAGCTCAAGATTTTTCTATACCTGATTATTCATTTACTGGTTATCCTCAAACATCATTAGCATCCAAAGAAGTATAATTATTTAAAATTTATATTAATAAAAACTTTTATTTTATCATCTATGAGTTCTTTTTTTGTTTTTGTTTTCTTAGTCAAAACTTCCAACATGGATGCATAATTATTTATTTTCACATGAACATGAAAAAGATAATATGTTTTCAAATAATTCTGCACTTGTTATTGAATTTTATCCATTTCAAACAATTGCTAATAATCCAAATTGGCGTATAAAAACATTACATGGATGGATAACTATTCGTTTAGATACACGAACATATGATGCATTAACAGCACCAAGTTCAGCTGAAGGAATGAGAACAGAAGGTAAATTTTTTGTTTATTCAATTGATTAAATTTATTTAAAATAAAAAAAAAAAAAGGACTTTTGGTTGAAAGTGATGGTGAATTAGTTGCAGAAAATACAAAATATTTAACAGCTGAAGTATTACTTCGTCTTGTATCAGAACGGCATCCAGGAAAAAATCTTCTTGCATATGCTGCTAGTAATTTACCAATTTTACCTTCGTATTATGTTGAAGGTGTTCGACATGGCGGTGCTCCACCTGTATATATGCAAGTTGCTGTACCAAAAAAAAATTTTCTACCTGCAATACAAACACCAGTAACACAAGCACCCGTAATACAAACACCATTAACACAATCTATGATAAATCCATCTGTACCAGTAAGAAAAAAAAATTATTATTTTAATACTAATAATCAAGTTTTGAACGTTGATTTCTCTTTTTTATTTTTATATAGCAGATATTCATTTTTTTTTGTTTATCATAGCTTTTCAATATTGATATGGTGAGTTATGAAAGCGATTAACAGTGAATCTGTCTTTCGTCGATCATGTACCGCTTACATTAAGCAAATTCCTATTACTTTATAATATAATAATTGTCCATAGTGCTCTTAAATACCTAGATCATATCAAATAGAAATTTCTTTGCTAATATTTGTCTATAGAATGTTTTTTTTTTGTATAATATTTTAATACAATTACCGATGAAATTTTTTTCAATAAAAAAATTGATATTTCTGAGTATCCTTCCCGAATCATTTTATTAAAAGGAGAGTTTTGTTTTTCGAAATATCTTACAAAGACTAAAATGATAATAATTTTGAAAAAAAAAAATATTCGAATTCAAATCTCTGTAATAGTTAATCATAAAGTATATTAACAAAAGACTTACAGAATTTCTAAAAACCTATGTGTACTTAATTATTAACTATATTGTTTCTGTACCAATAATCATAACATCATGTCTGTAAGACACAAACAGAAAAAGAAAATGAGTTAACTTTTCTCTTTTTTTTTTTTTTCTTATATAAAAACGAAATAATTTTTTCACTTGTCCGATGACATGCTGTGTTAGTTGTCAACGAAGCTTAGTAACATATGTATATGTCTTATAATCCTATATACAAAAAACGATGGTTAATCGTTCCCAAGTCATCCTATATTACAAATAATTCATTTGTATATAATGTTTTATATGGATTAAAATAATCTAACATCATTTTTTTTTACTCTAAGGTAGGTCAACCGACACTTCTTGCACCTCAATTCTATCAACCACAACCATACGAAGTATGATTATTAATTTTTTTTTTTTTTTTTTTTTATTAAGATATATATTCTATTTCATTTCAAAAGATTATACCAACACTTCAGTATGCTGACAGATCAGATGTAACAGATTTTTTTTTTTTTTTGTATAAAAAAATTAATTAAATTAGGGTGTTCGTTTTCGTATTCCACGTGTTAATCTATATGATTTGGATGATATTCCAACAGAATATCGTGCTATGTTAGCAACAAATTATCCACCACGTCGTGATGATGATATTGATGGTTGGTTTGATTATTTTCAACGTGAAATTGCTGTTTATAAACAAGCTATTCGACGTGTTATACAAGATGTTGTACAATTACGTGATCAACATAAAACTTTAACTGCTGCAAATAATGATTTAAAAGTTAAATTGGATAATTTTGATAAGAAAAAAAAAGTTTTATATGAAATTTTTGAAGGTGATAAAATTGATAAAGCAAAAATGCAAGATATATTTAGTAAGAAAAGAAATCTTTATTGGTTTATTTATTTTTCTTGAAATATTAATTAAATAATAATTTAGATCGTTTATCTGCAAAAATATCTGTTCAAGCACTTGAATTAAAAGAAAATCATGCGAAAATAAATAACTATGAAAAAGAATTAGCTCGAGTATATTGAATTTTTTTTGTTGTTGTTGTTGTTTGTAAATTTCAATTAAAAAATTGATTTTTTTTTTTCTTCTTTTCTATAGAGAAGTGAATTACGTGCTCAATATGATGCATTAGTTCGAACAACTCAAGCACGAGAATTAGAAATAAAAGTAATAAAAGAACGTTTATTAAAAGCTGATGGACTTGAAGAAACAGTTCGACGACAAGAACTTGTCATTGAAAAACTTGAAACAATGATTAATAATTATATGAAAGAAAAACGATTAAAAGGTAAAATTACTTTTTATAAAAAAAAAACAACTTTTCGAAATATTCGTTTTATATATTTAGGAGCATTCAATGATTTTGATAGAACTTTCTTATCTGAACATGCTGCACTTGGATTAGAAACTCAACAACTTCAAGTAAGTTTTATCGAAATTTTATATTTTTTAATAGAAAATAAATTATATTTATTTATAGAGACGTATACCTCCTACACGTTATTCTGCAACAGTAACGAATCAACGAGATGATCTAGTACGACAAAATTTACTTTATCAACAAGAATTAGCTAATCTTAAAGCACGAGTAAGATATTATAATTAGAAATTAAAAATTCTTTCATTTTTTCTTTTTTATAGTTTCAAGAAAATGCTTCTGCATGGGGTAGAGAAAAAGCTGAACTTCTTACAAAAATTGATGATATTGATCAACCAGTAAGAATTAATATAACATAATATATCTATTAATTATTAATTTCATTTGTTTAGATAAACACACCAAGACCAAGAAAACTTGAACCTCTTTAAATGTTTATTTTCTTGTTCAATAATAATAAAAAAGACGTGTTTCTTCACAACTGTGAGAGGAGTAATAAACAAACAAAAAAAAAAAATAGTATCTGACAAGTAAAAATATCCATATGAATAACAAACAAAAAAAAAAGATACAAATATATATATACTTATCATTTAAACTTAATTCCTATCAGAACCATAGCCACTACTAGCTGCTGAAAGAGGCGTATTACAAGTTGATGATTCGACACTAATATTTTCAATGATTTTTTCTTTTAATTGTATATCGATACGATGTAAATCATCAGTAATTGTTTCTATTTGATGTTTATTTTCATGATATTGTTGACGATTACATGGATGACGATAATTTTTTAATTTATATTCAATTTCATGTAATCGTTCATTGAATATAGAAATTTTTTCATGATGTTGTTTAAAATTTACTTGAAATTTTAACCAAATAACTATGGAAAGAAAAAAAGAAAAAACAAGAATGAAAAATAATTAAATATTTAATTTAATAAGTTTCTTGACAGTTAGAATTCTTTTATTGGATTTTTAGATTCTATTGAAATTTCGAGAATCTAATATATATCAACGGAAATTTTGATAATATAGGAATCAATCGATTTCTTTGCACATGTGTAAACCGACGATGCGGATGGATATACAATGAGTACTAAAATTATTCAACAAGGTTTATTTTCAATATTTTTCGCTGCCATAAGCATTAGAAAAAATCCACACAAAGATAGAGATTTCAGAAAACTAAAACCCTAATTTTTTCAACACCTAGAGCATGCGAATACAATTTTGTTTAGACTACATAGAACAATAGAATAATTTCCCGTCCTCTACAAAATGAAATATCGTGAAATCTTTTGGTTGAGATCGAAGGTCTAAAAATTGTTTTTCTGTAGGAAACTGAAAACAAACGAGTTTAAAGGCGTCTGTAAGATTGTTGTATTTCAGCTAAAAAAAAGTCGGAGATATCTCATTTCGTAGGAAATTATATGTTCTATCGTTCTAGGTGCTCAAAGACTAGCCTTTTAGTTTTCTGATAATAATTTTCTATTTCCTTTAGAAAACTATTCTCTCTATTGAAATCACTATTTGGATTCTTTCTAACGCTTACAGCAGCGAAAAACATTTAACAATAAACCATGTTAAATAATTTTAATACTTACTGTATCTTAAGTATGTAGTCATTAGTGATGGCGGCTCAGCCGATCGGCTTACATCTCTACTTCTTTGATACCAACTGGAAATTAATAATTGTTCTCTCGTACTGTTAAAATGTAATTGTTTTTCAAATTATGGATTTTTTTTTATTTACTAAAAAATGATCTCGTATTTTTCTCTAGTATATGTATTACTAAGTATGACATTGAGACAAAATTAATTTATTCAATTAAATAAATTTACCTTTTGATAAAAGCAAATTATTTATTCTATAATTACGATTTTTCCAATCAATTTCATGTCTATTATAACATTTATTACATAAAAGTATATCACAATGATAACAAAGTTCAAGTTTTTGATACGATTTACAATCGTAACATTTTGCATTAATATTAATTGAACAATTTTCATTAAATTTTTCTTGTCGAATTTGTTCAACAAGTGATAATACAATTCTATTAATAGGTAAAATTTGTCCAATAAAATGAGAACGACAAATAGGACATATTACAAATGAATGATTATTATTTATTATTGAATAAAGACATTTATAACAAAATGTATGTGAACATGGCAATAAACGAGGATCATCAAATAGATCCATACATATTGGACATGTTAATGTTTCTTCAAATGATGGCATTCTGAAAAAAAAAAACAAAGAACTAATTATATATTCTAAATACAGGCAAGGAAAATACAAAAAAAAGAAAAGAAAAGGAAAAGGATATTTATTTTTAAAACTAATGTCCTTCATAAAAACGTCCAAGAAAACTTGTGGATTTTTTCTTATATGAATCTTTCTTGCTATCCATTAAAGCAGTATTATGTTGTTGTCGCCATATTTCAGCTGTTTCAACAAAATCCATTTGACCACGTACAATAAGTAAATCAATAACACGTAAATCAGTTACATCTTTGTTACGCATAAAATTTTCCTATAGAAAAAAATATTGAATGAAATTTTTTGTTTTTTAATTAACATCTACCTTAATAACATTACGTAAATGTGTTTCTGTCCAATTATTTTTAATATAATCAACACGAAGATATGGTATTTGTCGAAGCCAAATTTTATAAAGATTTAAAACACGTCGTTTAGCTTCAGCATGATCTGTTGAAAGAACAGGTCGAACTTGTTTTAATGTTTGAGGTAAACGTGTAGTCAATGACATAGACTATATTTATTTATTATCTAAAAAAAACAAAAGATCAGAATGAATATATAACTCTACTAGTTTCAATTTTGTTTTTATTTTTATTTTTATTTTTTGATTCTAGAGAAAACAACAGACAGATCGATGAGAAGTTAGAATACGACAACCAATCATATCTCAAATATGACTAACCAATAGAAAAAATAACATAAAATACCAAACATAATCCACAAAACATGGAACCTTTTCAAACACAGGTCAAAAAAACAACTTTAATTAATAACAAATTTTGTTATTAAATTGTAATGCCGTACTCTACAAAGTCAGTCCATGAACGACTTTGAATATATATTTATATATTCCTCATAGATCATACTGTAATTCTGATGCATTATCATTATAACTAATGAATATGAGAAAAATAGATTTCAAGATTTGTAAAATGTGTCTGTAATTGTGCGCGTTTTATTCTTTTATTTGAATGAAAATGTTGAAATAAAAAGAATCTTTGTCGAATATTATGTTGTTAACAATGATGAAGAGAACATCTTCATTCAATCTTTACAACGGAACGGTTTGTATTATTTATAAAACTGATTAACTATATTGATCACTCTCATTGAGAAACTAAACGAATTTAAAATACGAACTGGTCATGCACTATATTTTAGTATAGAATCATTATAATATGAGCTATTTCACATAAGCCATGATTAACTCTCAGAGAAGTTGCTTAATCGATGATCACCGATTTGACTAGTTTTTATATATAATATAAGGGGCAAGTAATGAACTTACAGTAAAAATTTCATGCGAAATAGATGTATTATTGAAGAAATATGGGTTTCAGAAAAAAAAATCTCCTTTTTGAGCGATAGAGTGCTCTCAGAAAAATTTAGACGTCTCAAGAACGGAATAATATTTTTCAATTAAGTAGCTTTTATAAGAGTCAGTTGTGGCTTATATGGAGTAGTTTATATTATAATGATTCTATACTAAAATAGTGCATAACTTAAAAATTGTCTGTCTCTGTTCAGGTACAGTATGAGCAACTCATATTTTAAATTCGTTAGTTTCTCAATGGGAGTGATCATTTGACTCGAACATGGTCAATCTTTTTTTTTTTTAACAAACAATACAAACCGTTCCATTGTTAGGTGAATATTAAATAGTTTCTTCTATCCACGTTTTCAGTCTGCTCGGCCATCGTATAATCGGAGCAAATCGACATTTCGACACATACTTTCATTGCTACAGTACAGTTTTTAAACGTTTATTTTATATGAAACAGTATACTATTTAGTTTCTTTCATAAATTGTGCTGAAATGGAATGCAGTGTTGGTGCTTAACGTCATAATTATGAATACATACATGAATGCTTTTTCCTTAGTAAAATAAGATCGCTTTCCATCTCGGTAATCTATTCTCAACTACAATAAATTGCTTAGATTTTCACTCTTATACTTTTATATAAATTAGCAGTTTGAAAGAATAAAAGTATCTTGAAACATTGAGATCTCATTCATTGCCGGGCATCCAATCCGGTTGCAAGACATTAGTTTGAATTCGATGATATTCTATATATTCTTTGAACAGACATCATTCTAGAGCAAAAAATTCGTAAAAAAAACACTATATCATCATTGTCATATACAGACTTATTGATCAGAGTTGTCAACAGGCCACTTTTTTTGGCCTGCAGGCATATGCTAAACCAAAATAGTTCTCTTGATACAATTATTTTGTTTCTCTCTTCCATTTATTATTCTGTCTATTGTAATGCACTTTCTAGTTATTGCAATCATTTGTGTTTAATATTCTTCGAAATACAACTTAGCCTACAACAACATCTAATCTTCAGGCTAGGCTGACAGCTTTGTTCTTGATTACAAAAAAAGATAAAATTTCATGTCAAAAATGTATCACCTCTGAATACGTCCGATTTCAAATTGACGATTCAATTCTTCCGAGAAAGTTATTCTATGTATACATCACAGATAAACATTAAATTAATGAAAAAAAAGCGATCCATGTTGACAGCAACATTATAACGAGACTATTTATTTATTCTATAAAACTAATTTAGAATTTCTGGACATACTTGGATAGTCATTGCAAAATATTTTTTGATTATTTGAATTATTCATTAATGATCATTTAATGATTATGAAAATTTTTGTTTTTTTCATTAATGAGAGATTTTATAATTTAATACGGGAATATAGTAATAAAAATAAAAACAATAATGAGAATAGACTGAAATAATTAGATATGATATTTTATAACTAAAGACAGCCATATCCAAATTATTGTTCGTTACAATAATAATTTTTCTCTTGAAATTTTCTAATAGTTTTAGTATTATGATCAATGACAATTTGTTGGTTTGTCTCGATAATTCGTCGTATTGTGATAGATTCTCAATGATAGAAAACAGCTAGATTGAACACAATCACAGAAAAATATATAGACCAAAAAAAGAAAATATATAAGTCAAACAGAGATTTATTGCGTCGGTTTTGGTTGAGCATGGGCTACTGTATGTTTTCGAGCTGTTTCATAAAATTCATCTGGATTTTTAAGAATTTGTTGGGCTATAGCAGATACAAGAGGACTTTCAGTACTTGGATCAGCCAACAATTCGATTATTTGAAGTAAAACTTTAAAAAAAAAAGCAAAAATATAAATAGATCTTTAAAAAGCTTGTTTTTTTAATTTTACTTGTAACAATTGAAAGATTTGGTGTCCATTTTTCACCAAGAACATCGAGACCTAGGAGACAAATTAGAGAACATAATTCATATAAATAATACTTACAAATACTTCCATCATCCTTGACTGCTGGATGATATACTGGTGTCACGAATTTAACCTAGAACAAGAAAAATAACCTATTAGAGACTTGTATGAAATTAATCGATCAATTACACCTTAGGTGGTTTAAATGGAAAATCCGTTGGCAAATTAATATCAAGAGTAAAGATATGATCAGCATACGGTGAATTATCCTATAAGTTTAAAAGAAAAGGAAAACAAAACTGAATAAATAGAATTAATATTAAATTTCTTTTTTTTTCTCTTATGCACATGGTGCATGACAACTCTGTAGAAAATTTTCTACAATGATAATTTTTTTTATTATCAATAAAAATAAATAGAAAAAGATTGTTACACCATTTTATGCGCTAAAATTATTTCATCATGTTAAATCATTACTATTTTATTCTACTTACTGGTCCAACAATCTTAGCTTCCAATTGTAAAACTAAATACATATGTAATAATAAATGATAAAAATTGAACAAAAACTTACTATCATTTCCTTTTGGTTCTAATTTATTGACTTGAGCTGAATTTTCCTGAGCAGTTTTAAACTCCTATGAAAAAACAAAAATAACTTTTTATACATCAAATAATCCGTTTCAATTTTTATTCAAATACTTTTAATAAACGTCGCTGTATAGTTGCCATCTCTCTGTATTGATTAAAATACTACACACAAAAAAAAACAAGGCAAGAGTAAATTTGAATAGTAAATGAAGGAAAAAAAATAATAATAATAGATTTGTTGCAAGAATATAACTGAAGAGAAAAAAGCTTATGATTGGTTTATTTTATCATGAAAAAAGGATATGTAGTGGTGTTCTTCGCAAAAGAGTGACATCTATCGGAACTATAAAAATGCTCATACTACGAGAAATATAAGTTAACTCAAGCCAGCTGTTCGATAATGAGAAAAAAGTAATGTAATAAAACATAATATAAAAAAATTGAAGTGTAATATACCGGGTGCGGCATAATTATTGCAACATCTAGTACTTGCAACAGACATGTTCATGACGACGCTGCCGCTGCTGCAGTGGCGGTGGCAGCGCGGTAGCATTTTTTTTCCGAGGACGTTGAAAAAATGCATGAGTGTGATAGAATTTCATTGTTTACGAATGAAATACCATGAGACTGAATGAATCTGATGGACTAATATCAATATTTTTGGTCCAATACAATCGCAGTAGTAAATTCGAAATATTTTTTTGATAACCATCGCGGTAGCTTTTTTATAAGCCATCGCGGCTCGGTAACTTTTTTTTGCTAACCCCACGGCGTGGCAGCGGCAGATTTTTAGCCACGATGGACATCTATGGACTATTGGTATAAAATATGTTGTCTTTTTTTATTAATTATTTGTTCCAACTTTATCTATTCTAATGCAAAAAAAGGGCTTTCTAACAAAATAAATCAATCACTCCAGTCGGAAATACATAACTTTTTCATGATCTTTGAAAAAACTACATCTATTAAACAAGAAAAAGCATTTGTTATAAAGAGTGTGATATGGTGAAAGGAAAATAAAATAAATGGCATGCGTAAAAGATAATTATTTAGGATGTTATTTATTTTGACAATAGTCCTTAGTGATTATTTTCATATGCTAGAATAAAAGGGAAGGCGATAGGATTTGTCTTTCTTTCATTTATATGCATTAAAATAGTAAAAATTAATGTTTACACAAATTTCTCTAATTAATTTTGATTTTTTTCTCAATGAAACAGATGACAATCTTCAGTGAGTATGGTCACAGACAATTGATGCTTGATGTACTATTGTCTTTTTTTATACTTATCAAATCATTGTGTATCATCATCACTTAACGAACGTGTTTATGAACAAGTACGACGTTTCTTTCTCAATCAATTGATGAAAAAATGAAATTATATATTGGTTCATGTTCATATAGAAGTACTCAAAATTATAAATCAATGTTTGAAGAAAAAGTTAGTCCTAAAGACGATCTTAAGAAAGATTTTGATTTAATAATAAAATTTTCAGCCGATGATAAAGATCGAATAGAACGAAGTGCTTCTTCATATGGATCAAATTTTTGGTACAATAGTCTTAAAAGTTTGTCTTTCTATCAAGAGAATAATTTATTGAGTTAAAACATTTGTTCACAATGTCGTGAATATATTTATGATGAGTATTATTTAAAAATAGTTTCTCTTGATCATATGAGCATTAGAAGCTTTGGCTTTAGCTCTTAATTTACTTTCAAACTATTTAGTAACAAATCACATATAAGCCTGCTGCATGCATAATAGAAGAGAAACGTTAGTTCTACAACTGTGTAGCTCTCTGAAAGTCATCCGCTCAATAGACCAAGCATCTTTTGACAACCTACTAGGTGGGTAAAAATATTATTCCAGGAGGATAACGCTATGATTTCAAATAGAAGACATAATGAATTTTATATCAAATGAAAGCTCGTCAAAAATGGGGTTTATTGGTACTAAATAGTGAGTGTTATAAAACCTTTTTAATATCGAACTTAATAAACTTTCAGAAATTTTATACTTTTTTGGGGTAAGAAAGTAAGGTGCAAGTAATTCAAAAAATCGAGTAAAATATTTTTCTTGGATATTTTTACATGATTCGATAGAGCTCGTCGAGCTCGGTCAAAAAAAGTGAGCTTCAAAGTGCGTAAATTCCAAATTTGGAGCTCACCTACGCATCCGTATTTTAAGAAATAACTCTTAAAACTACTGAACCCCCAAAAAAGTTTTGTCCCAAAACAAAACAAAACTACTCACTATCCGGAAGTATCATTCTCAAAACGGAACAAAAGTACTCACAACTCGGAAGTGCTTTTATGCTGTTTTGGAAATGATACTTCCGGGCAGTGAATACTTTTGTTCTGTTTTGGGAATGATACTTCCGGGTTGTGAGTAATCCTGTTCAGTTTTGGGATAAGACCTTACACGAGCAGTTCAGTACTTTTAAGAATTATTTGTTACAATATGAATGCGTAGGTGGGCTCCAAATTTGGAGTTTACGTTTGGAGCTCACTTTTTTTGACCAACGAATTTCAGCATATTTTAAACTATTTCTGAATATGGAACTTTTATCAAACAAATTAAAGATATTCGCTTAATGTTATTAGAAAAAGATCAATGTGTAACAATATTGATTGGAGAAATATCTCAAGATGTTATTAACCTTACTTTTTTTTGTCACATCAAAGAAGATGTCATAGTAATTTTGAAAAAATCATTGAACAAAATGTTAATGGCATTTATTTCGTCAGTGAGAATTAATTTGTGTAGCTTATCTCAAGCAGAAATTTTGACATAAATCAGATAAAGATGTCGCCAATTATCCATAGATCAACTGAATTGATTGGAAAAAAATAAATCAATGTGAAATCGTTGAAAAGCTTCATCAATGATCGAAGTTTGCTTTTGTCTGGTACTATTCCACTTTAGGCACAGTGCATATATAAACAGAACAGGAAAAAAATTTGATTGAAACAAAATTGACCATCGCAAATGAAAAAATATACACAGCGACTATATTAATGTCACTTCTTAAAGATGACGGTAGTATATGAGAGAAAACAGAGATAATTAATAACTTACATCTGAAGAATTTTTTTAAACTGCTGCTGTTTTATGTAATAAAAGAGGAATTAATTAAAGGATATTAAAATTCTAAAGCATCAAAAGAATATAGAATCTATCAATTTGCCTCACAATAATGTGTTTGAGTATAAAAAGGGATTTTTTTATTCAATTTTCATTTTTTCAAAACTACTAAAATGAATCTTAATATTGAAATTGACGATCTTGATAAACTAACCTTACGAAAAATTCATGAACTGACTAAAACAAATATAAGCACAATTCTACTTCTACAAAAACTAAAACTATTACCAACACTTCCAACAAAAATTGAGCAATGTGGTCAACAAAATAATCATTCTTGGTATCTCGCTGAATATAATAAATCAATCGACGGTAAATAAAAAAAGTTTACTACTGTCATCTTTAATAAGTGACATTAATATAGTCGCTGTATATATTTTTTCATTTGCGATGGTCAATTTTGTTCCAATCAATTTTTTTTCTGTTCTGTTTATATATATGTGCACTGTGCCTATACTGGAGTAGTACCAGATAAATCTTTAATAATCATCATTTTATCCTCTTTGTTGTTATTTGCCATTCTAACCAATAGACAATAGAATTTGCTTCTTTTTTCGAATAGAAAAAAAACGGAACTTTCAGTCGAACATCGATCAGTTTTTGTTATTATTGATTTTTGCAAATTCATGTTCATAATGATGAAAATAACGTTTAATCGTTTCATCAGTAAGTCTTTTTCTCTTGTTGTTTTCTTTCGACATGTTTGATTTTTCCTAGAAAAGAAGTTGAATTAAATTGAATAATTTTTTAGTGAAAGTGTTGCTAGTTTTATTCTTGATCTTTATTTGTATTGAATTTCAATTTGAAAGAAAACCCATATCATCGAAATCGCGTCACTTTTGATGACTGACCGGCAATATTAGAGCAAGCTTCAACAGCAAGTTTTTGCTTACATTAATTTTTTTTTTCGTTTTTGTTTAGATCACCTGATCATCTCAAACGGGCAGTAGTGTCAAACATGAAAGTTGAATTCAAGTACTCAACTATCAGTTCAAGCATTCAACTATTCGATTATTCAATTATTCAACTATTCAAGTATTCAGCTATTCAAAGATTCACGTATTCAAGTATTCAAGTATTCAAAGATTCAACTATTCAACTATTCAAAGATTCAAGTATTCAACTATTCAAAGATTCAAGTATTCAACTATTCAAGTATTCAATTATTCAAGTATTCAAGTATTCAAATATTCAAGTATTTAACTATTCAAGTATTCAAGTATTCAACTATTCAAAGATTCAAGTATTCAACTATTCAAAGATTCAAGTATTTAACTATTCAAGTATTCAACTATTCAAGTATTCAACTATTCAACTATTCAAGTATTCAAGTATTCCACTATTCAAGCATTCAAGTCTTCAAATATTCAAGTTTTCAATTAGTCAGAGCCTGGAACACTACAGGGTTCTCTAGAATGCTGCCAGTATTACATAGGATGTTAGAAGCTTCTTCTATAATGCTACAAGTAGCTCCTATGACGCTACAAGTATTCCCTGTGATGCTACAAACATCCGCTGGGATGTTGCAAGCATCCAATAGGATGTTACAAGCATCCCCTAGGATGATACAAGCATCTCCTAGGATGCTATAGGTTTTGGTTAAGATGCTTCAGATATTTTCTGGGGTGCTACAAGAGCTATGTGAGAGGCTTGAGCTACTGTGCAGCAATGAGTAGGAACAATGATGTGCACAAAGATATGCATGGGTCGCGACGCTGAAATAGAAGGTGAGTTAGGTGGAGAAAAGCAGTTCCCCACTGAATCTCCGCCGAACATTTGAGAAGTTAAAATTTGAATAGTTGAATACTTGAAGCTTGAAAACTTGAACACTTGAAACTTGAATAGTTGATTAGTTGAAACTTTAACTATTCAATAATTGAATACTTGAATTCAAGTTTCAAGTATTATTTGTATGTTGTGAGTATAAGAAAAACCATTAAAACAGGTAAAATAGAATTTTATTATACAGATTTTGTAGAGAATTTCGCAGCGCAT